GACCAACTTAGGCCAAATTATAAACAGTGGGGACCAAATCGGGGGTCTGTACAATAGTTTAAGGACCAAATCAGGGATTTCTTTAGTTCAGGGACCAAATTGGGGGTCCGTACAATAGTTCAGGGACCAAAATGAGGATTTAACCAAAACCTAAACATCTTCTTTAAAAAACTTTCATTCTGTTATTTTATTTATTTTCATTCTTCATTTTTTGGGCACATATTTTTTGTTCTTTATTGTTAATTATTTAACTAAGTTTAGTTTTTTAACAATATGTGGATTTGAGTTATGGATATAAAATTAAATTTTAGTTCTCTATTGTTATTTTAAATTATGTTTAAGTTTAGATTGTAATAAACAATATTTTATTAAAATTTTACTAGTTTTACCAACCATGGTGAAATATGGCAAGGGGGATTATTGTTTGACCAACCACCCACACTAGTCTCAAACTTTCTTCAACAAAATACTATTCAATCTCACCATCTTGATAACAAAGGTAACTTCCATTTCAACATGAAGGGCTTGTTTGATATAGCAATTTAAAAGTAACAATTAGTGTTTTAACTCATATTGGAATTTAAGAAAAAAACGTTTGATGAAGTTGTTTATTGTTAAAACGTTATGAATGAAGTGTTGGTAAAATTTTTCATTTAGCAATTAACACTTAAATTGCTAGTAAATTGAAAATTTTAAATTTTATTAATAAATTTATCAATTTTAACTATTGGATTTTCTAGCATAAACTACAATTATCTAATCAATTTTGACTTTTTTTTTTATCTTTAATAACATTAAGTGATTATTATATTTTTATTTTTTATATTAACTTATCATAGAAAATTTATATTAGCTTAGACTACATTTAGTATAGTTGTGACTTTTAGTTTTTAGATTTTAGTTTTAGTTTTCATAAATTTTGCAACTATTAAAAACCAAAACTAAAAAATTAAAGAACTAACAATTTGTTTAATACAAGTTTTAACACTAACAATAAAAAACATAAACTTGTCTAATAGAATTAAAATTACTTTTATTCTTATTTTTCTAGTAATCATGATAACATTTTACAAAATCAATTCAAAGTAAGCAAGTTTTTTTTATCTAAAATAAAAACCATAACCAAACTCAATATAGACTTTAATATGCAAAATTTGGTAATTTAACATAATGATTAAAAAGTTTGTTTTGTCTATATATAAAAATCGTACAATTTTTTCTTTGTTTAAATAGAAATGCTTGTGTAATTCACACTTTTATATTTTATTTATTTATGTATTTATTTATTTTCTTGTTATTAATTTTATAAAATAATAATTTAATAATATAAAATATAAAAAGAAAAAATTATACTTAAATGATTTTAAATTTGTCTTTATTACTCATTTAACATCATACAATAACTACTAACCATTGTATAAGTAAAAAGTTATAACTATTAACATACGCTATTTATTATCTACTATTAGCTACCCATTATCGTTTTCTACTATGCATTACCCACTAAATTTTAACTATTTTACTAAACAGGGCCAAAGCAGAGGAACTTACTTAAGTTTTAACTTTTATTTATTCATTACAATGAATAAGTACCAATATAGTCAAGTGATTTTTCATGTGTTATAATCCCTTATGAATTTGATTAACAATTTTTCTACAAATGGAATTAGAAAATGATCTCTTTCATTGTTATATATATTTGATTCAAGGGGGTATGTATGCCTATCTTTAATTATTTGAAACATTTGATATATTTTGACATTAATATATGCTTGAATATGATGGTGACATACTAGTCCCTTAAGCAACATGTAATGTTAACTTGAGAGCATATTTTTTAGATTATACAATGAAGTTACTTCTTAAAATCAAGCTTGATAATGCACTACTAGAAAATATAGTATAACTAACGAAAAATTCTATCAATTATAAAGGGTATTTTGTAAGTTATACTTATAACTGATAGACATATCTAACAGCTATTACTGCCAAAAAAATGAGAGTAAAAACTAAATATAATCAATAGAAATATTTTTTGTCAATTAAACCACTATTTTTTTGGTACTAACCTACTAACCTCTCAATATCCGATAACTACATTGGGTCTCGACTAATCCGGAATCGAGTTGTGTCGGATTCCATTTGGGGGGAAGCTCTCCCAATGCCTATTTCTCCATCTACAAGATTCGAACTTAAGATCTTATTTAAGGGGAATTGAGCTCCTTCCATTCGGACCAACAGGTTGTTGGTTATCAATTAAACCACTATAATTGACAAGCAATGGTTGTCAGTTATAAGTATAATCGACGGCCAAATGGCCATCGATTAAGTTGGAAAAAAAACTAATAATATAATCAACAGCTTAATGGCCATCAATTATAGTGGTTTAATCAACAACCACTAACTGTCAATTATATCTAGTTTAGTAATAAAAAAAATAAAGTTTCTAGAAAAATCAATAATTAAATATATATTTTTTTGCTATTACTGTATTGTCATTAAAATTGTAAAAACAAAATTTAGTGATAAAATCATATATCCCACAACAATATGTATAATTAAAATAATAAATTTCAAAATAAAATAAAAACTAAAATATTGTTCAAATTAAATAATATGAGAAGTAATGAAAAAGAAAGTTAAATTTTAAATAATTTACCTCATAAAAAGAAGCTAAATCTATAAAAAAAAAAACATTATTCTACATTATGATTTTTTTAAGATAAAAGGAAATAATATTAAAACATTAATTACATATAAAATTAGAATTTACCTCAAAACATTTTTTTTTGGTAAGCTTAATATATATAATCTACAAATCCGTAAAATATATATATAAATATTTATTAGTAAATGATCATGTATATTATTAAAGTAATTTGGATGATTAATGGAAAAAACAAAAAACAAAACCTTGGGATGGATGAAAGAATGAAATAAGATGAAGGAATGACTATAACCAAATAAAGAAAATGGGAAAGATTGGAAGGATGAAAGAAAAGTAAGCATTTAGCTATAGCGACATGAAATTGCTTAGAAGAATTAAACCACATGCATAGTAAGAGTTAGAAAGATAACTAGTCTATGGTGTTCTCTAAAGCTCAGTGAGCTTCTAGAGTTTTCTAAGCTGACGTGCTCTTTCCCATCTGATGTTTCTTGTCTGGTTTCCTCTACTTCTTTGTCACTCACACCCTCCTATATATTCAAATTTTTTGTTCTTCTCTTTGTCTTTCCCCTTTCTTTTCACCCAAGCCATAATTTCCTGCACTAGCTACTATTTGTTTACAACACTACCTTTGGGGAATCAAATGAAGAGTTTCAATTATGAGTATCTTGGCTGAAATATTCAAGGGTTGGGGAGGAGACTCATTGTGAGGCAATTAAAGTCACTGTGCTTCCTTCATCGGCTTGATATAGTTTTCATGATGGAAACTAAACAAAAGTTATCATATGTGGATGATCTTTCAATTTAGATCTTTGAGAAATTTGATTATGGTTTTGATGGGTGTTGTTTGGACTCTTCTAGAAATGATGAGTGGTATTTCACTTTTTTGTATGGATGTTCATATAGGGCCGAATTTAGGCAATTTTGGGAGGATTGTCGTTGATTTGCTTGGAGTACAAATTTTCCATGGCTTGTGATGGGGGACCTAAATGTAATAGAATATCAAAATGAGCACTGTGGTAATCCTCTAACTGCTCCATCTAATTTTGTTCATCTTGATCGTTTTATTCAATGGGGCTATCTCATGAATTTGGGATTCAAAGGTTGTCCTTATACTCAGACTAATAAACGATTAGGATCTGCAGTAGTTCAAAGATGACTTAACCTTGCTTCAACAAATAATGAATGGTGGAAATCCTTCCCCCATTCTAAATTGCTTCATTAGGTTAAAATAGGTTCAGACCATAACCCTTTAGTTTATGCATTGATGCTTTTCCCAAAAATATTCAAAAAGTGGTTTTGTTATGAAGTCAAGTGGACATTAGAGGATAGTTATCTGGATCAATTAATCAAGGCTGGCAAGGGAGCAATTCTGGCTCTAATCAATTCAAGCTTTGTAAAAAATAAAAGAATTGCAAGAAAACCTTGATTGAATGGATTAAGTCCTTATGTGATAATCCCCAGCAACAGATTAGTGAGTTTACTTCAAGAATTGACTTTCTACAAAGTTTGCCACCTGACACAGGTAATATGCAACAACAAAAGCTATTGTTAGAATAACTTGATAATCTGTGGGGGGAAGGAAGAGGCATACCGGTTTCAACACTTTGGAGTCAACTAGATTAAATTTGTTCATCGTAACTCTAGCTTCTTCCTTATTGTTGCTTTTAAAAGGTGACAAATAAATCACATTAGAAGACTTGAAGATGATAATGCAAATTGGTTGACGTTCGAAGATGAAATTAGGAATTTCATAGCTAGTAAAATGGAAGCACAATTTCAACAACAGTTTCATCCATCTCACTCTATTGATTTGTCCCCACTTAAGTGTTGACTCAATGTACTCCAAGAGGGGGGTGAATTGGAGTTCCAAAAATTCTCCCCTTTTTCAACCACAAAAACAAAGTTAAAGAAAGTAGAGAAGAAGAGCTTGCACAATGAGTAGAGAAAAAGAGCTTGCACAATGAATTTATGGAGGTTCGGTCCAACCACTTGGAGCCTAGTCCTCTACCTTGGCTTCACTCACCAAGGATTTCCTCCACACTCTTCACTAAGAAAGACAAGGGTGGCTTAAAGGAGCCACTCAATCCTTTTACAAGAAGATGAGTATTTCTCTCAAACCTCACCCCTTTACAATGTAAACCCCACAAATCCTCTCAATAGAGCACTCTTGAAGGAATAATCACACCCCCAAGAACATACACTAATAGAACAAGAAGAGGATTATAAGCAATGATCACTCAAAGATCAAAAAACTCAAGTTAAAGCTCAAGTAGGTAGGTAAAGATATTCAATGCAATGTTCTCTAAACTTCTTCAGATCTGTTACCAACCATATTTATGGTCCCTTGCCCGAAAATAGTCGTTTCTAGCCGTTGGGGGTCATTAAATGCCCTGTAGGACGCAAAGCTCGAGTTGTAAGATTGTCAGGAGAGCCGGCTCTGTAAAGCCGGCTTACCATTTCCACAACTGGCTTTGCAGAATTGCAGCCCATTCTGTTTTTCTCGAGAGCCAGCTGCAAAACTTTGAGCTGGCTTTGGTACTTCGACTTTAAATACATTAAATATTCTTCAAATACGTCGACCGTTGTGCATTAAATGCACTTTCACAGTCGACTACAAAGTTGGAGCCGGCTTTACTTCCATTTTCCGCACGCGCCAAAACAGCAGTTGAATTTCTGGCCTGTAGACCCGGCTCAACAAAATCTGCAACCGGCTCTCTGCATTTTTGCTTCCCAGAGCCGGCTGCAATTTTCCTAAGCCGACTCTCTGCATATTTTTACCCTTTGAGCCCTTTTTAGTGTAATCTCATTTTGCTTACTTTGCAGTATATTGGCAATTTAACTACACACTTAAATAAATCAATTAATCACTCAAATGTGTTTAGTAATCATCAAAATCATAGGTACAACATTAAGGATGTTATTATTGAAGATATGAATGTGGACTTGCATAAGCCAATTGCAAGGGATGAGGTGAAGAATGCAGTTTTTCAATTAAAGCATTTAAGGCACCAGGACTTGATGGTTTTCCTAGGGTTTTCTTTCAACAACATTGGGATTTGGCGGGTGATGATGTGTATTGGGCAGTGCAACGGTTTTGGGACAAAAGTTGCCTCTTATGAAAACTCAATAAAACCACCATTGTACTTATCCCTAAGGAGAAAAATTCAGTAAACTTCTCTCATTTCTGGCTGATCTTTTGATGTAATTTCACTTACAAAATTGTCTCAAAGGTGTTGGTTAATCAGCTTAAGTCGTTGCTATCCCAAATCATTACACCAATGCAATCTGCATTTATTTCAAGGAGAATTATTCAAGATAATATAATAGTGGCACATGAGATTTTTCACGCAATTAAGAAGAGAAGGTATGGCAAACAAGGGCTTTTAGCTTTGAAATTAGACATACACAGGGCATATGATAGTGTTGATTGGCTTTTTTTTAGAAGATGTTTTGAATTATGGGGTTTCATGAAAAGTGGATTTTATGGGTCATGTAGTGTGTCAGCACAGTTTCTTACTCTGTGTTGATTAATGGGAAACCTACTCAATTAATATATCCTGAAAGAGGTTTACATCAAAGGAAACCCTCTATCCCCATATTTGTACCTCTTGATCTATAATGTGCTTTCTATGTTAATTGATTAGGTGGTTAAAAACAATTTACTTTGGGGATATTGTATTAATTGACGATGCCCTATGGTCAGTCATTTGTTATTTGCTAATGATGCTCTCCTTTTTTGTCAAGCAACTATTAAGCAAGCTTATGTTGTTAAAGCCCTGCTAGAGCAGTATGGAGCACATTTAAATCAGGTTGTCAAACATAATAAGGTTGCAATTATGTTTAGTACTATTGCTCCTTTTTTCCATTCGATCTACCATATGTGATATTTTGTCAATTCATCATGAGACTCTAATTTACAAGTATTTGGGTTTGCCAACATCTTGGGGGAAATCTAAAACAGAAAGTCTTAATTTTAAAATCGACAAAGTCAGACAAAAGTTACAACACTGGAAAAAGGCAATGTTTTTGGGCCCGGCCCGGTGATTGACCCGGTTTGGCCATTGGGTTTGGTTGAACCAATTGAACCAGTTCATCCAACTAGTTCAACCAATCAACTAAAAAATAGTGTTTTTTGACATATTTATTTTGTTTTACTATTAT